CCGGTTCAGGTGTGGGCTCTGTGTGTGTGTGTGTGTGTGTGTGTGTGTGTGTGTGTGTGTGTGTGTGTGTGTGTGTGTGTGTGTGTGTGTGCGTGTGTGTGTGTTTTAAGTCAGTCATGGTTTGCTAGTGGGGGTGATATGAGCAGCCCCGTCAAGCAGGTCTCCCTGCCTGCTCAGGTCTATTGGTGGGGGAGCTACACTTGCTGGAAACCGGGTCCAGCGTCCCGCAGGAACATCAATCAAAATCAATTACCTGACATTCCCCCAGGTCCTTGTCCAATGTCATCTGTCCCTATCTTCTACACGGACTACCCATATTCCCTGTCTGCGGGGACATTGATCAAGCACTGTAGAACGTGACCCCATTTCCGGGCCCTTGGCCGGACAGACCGAACCACAGTGTGTTTCGCTTTATAATTCATGTAATTTTCATCAAGTCAATCCCAGATTCGTCGCATCTAGAGAAAGAGGAGACAGAGAGAGGAGCAAGCAAGAGGAGAGAGAATACAACAAATACAAAGAGCAAGCGAAATGCGCAAAAAATGAAACATTAAAGCAAAGCCGAAAAGAATAGTCAACATACCTGAGATGCAGATCTTGTTGTCACAGTTCTCTCTAGTGCTGCAGGCGCCAAAGTTTGTGCGACCAAAGGCGTCCTCCGTAAAGTAGGTTCTAACTCGACACTGCGGGCATTTTTCTGCACGTAGAAAAGTGCCATTCTCATTTTCAATATTTTCAATTCTTCCGAAGAGCACCGCGTGCAACCCATCCATACTTTTTTTTCCCCCTTTTTAAAAAAAGGAACAGGAAACCTCGTTACAACAACTTCTAACCTCGTTACAACAACTTCTCCTTCCTCTAAATGCTAAGGTTCAATGAGCTTCTGACAGCACCCCCAACGGCAAACCGCAGGGATCACAGCGATCCAGAGGCTTCACCAGATCATTCAATCGGAAGGAGCGACAGGCGGGGAGTGCAAAGGGCAGGGGCATAATCAGTGCAAGCTGATGACACATGCTTGCTAGGCTTCCTAGGCACCCCATCCATACTATTAAAAAAACGGGACAGGTACAGCCAGGCCAAACAGGCAGGGATGGACACGTCCAGGAAAACCAGGCGGTCAAAAAAGGGCAAGAATTCCACAAAAAAAAAAAAACGAACATTTCATTTGCATCCCCATACGCAGCAGGGAGGGGTAGACAAACCACCAGTACAAAAGCAAGATGCGCCGGTTAACAGGCTGGTCGCGCTTTTGGATGTATGGGCCTACCAGCGCAGATCACTATGGCCGACTTTCGTCTCTGTTCGACAAGTTAAATTCATTCGTGATGAAAAAATGTGGCAGGCCTTGAACTACTCAAGATACAGCCATGAAATGACCATCTCACTGACACATCACGATCAAGACTCTTCCAAATATGATATCCATCCATTCAGGTAAAAAAGGGATTGATGTGGTCATTGTTTAAAACACACACACACACACACACACACACACACACACACACACACACACACACAACACACACACACACACACACACACACACACACACAAAGCCAGCATTAGTGGCCTTTCAATGCTGGCTTTGTAGTGTGTGTGTGTGTGTGTGTGTGTGTGTGTGTGTGTGTGTGTGTGTGTGTGTGTGTGTGTGTGTGCGTGTGACCTTTCACTTCCATCAGTAGCATACTAAGCACAGGCATTCAGCACCCTGTGATGACACAGAGAGAGAGTGTGAACGAGGAGAGAGGGAGACGGAGTGACGAGGCGAGAGAGAGAACATTGGATCTATTCTAGAACACAGTTCAGCAGTTTACATAAAATTTTATCTGAACTAGAAAGGGATGGAGAGAGAGAGAGAGAGAGAGAGAGAGAGAGAGAGAGAGAGAGAGAGAGAGAGAGAGAGAGAGAGAGAGAGAGAGAGAGAGAGANAGAGAGAGAGAGAGAGAGAGAGAGAGAGAGAGAGAGAGAGAGAGAGAGAGAGAGAGAGAGAGAACAGAACGCACGGTTTCACATCCAATACATCTGAATAAAATTAGATACCTTGACAACCCGGCAGCGCTCAATACTATAGCTGCATCCTCCACGAAGAGGGCCCCATGCTCGGGATCGCATAAAATTCCGAAAACTTGGTGCATAACCTGCAGTTGGAAAAAACAAAAAACTTGTAGGGACCAACCCAAGCAGCACACAGGGCAAGGAGCACGCAGGACAAGAAGCAGGTAAACATTAGCAAGAAAGACATCATTAGCAATTTGGCAATGGATTCAAGTGCAATGAATTGCAGTTGCTTACGCGGGCTGTACACTAAGTTTGTCTGCTGTTCCCCTGGTCTGAGCCCTGCGGGACTTGATCCCGTGACCTACAGTTTGTATGTGTTATTCACTAGCTTTGAGTCCTACTGGGCGTGACCCGTGAACATGTCGCTAGTAGTCTCTATTTGGCAGTCTTAGGCCCTTCAGGCTTGCTGTTTTGTCCTTTTCTGGTCTTCTGGAAACTGGTAGGCCCATAGGTCTCCCTTGTGTGTGTCCTAGTCTTGGGTCCCCTTGGTCTAGGTTCCCATCTAGATGCAGGTAGGCAGATCTTGACTGTTTGGCCGTAGATGTGTGCTGTTTGGACGGTCAGATAGGTTTGTAGGTGACTGCTGTGTTGTATGTCTAGGGAAGTCGGGTAGACGTAGGCAGAGGCCGACAAGTTTGAGGTTCTTTTCTCTTTTTTTTTTGGAAGTGGCGACGGGAGTACGTCAGCGGCACTATTTCCAGCGCTCAGTCTTCTTCCTCTTCGAAGGGAAACTTGGGCAGCCATAGGTGGGGCACCCTGCTGCTTGAGGAGGTAGCACCTGTAGGAGGTCTTCCAGGTGCTGATGCCACTGCCATCACGCTGCTGTTTGTGGGGGTTGAAGGACGCCGCTGTTCATCAAGCGGCTTGTTGCTGGTTGCTGCCATACCAGGGCAGCCATCATCTTCTTCACCGAGGTTCACCTTCTTCTTCACGGTTGTTTGCGGCGCTGCGACTTGATATCTGGCTCATGCCAGATCAGTGCCTGTACTCACAGGCTCAGGGCATGATGGGATGCTCTTTTCAACAGTGGGCTATCACTGGAGGCTGGGGGTCATAGGGAGAAGAGGAAGTTTAGTGAAGTTTCGTTGACGTGTATTGTCGGGGGTTAATTGGACGCGGAACAGATTTCGTGGTTGAGATTCTCGGAGTTGTTCAGTTGACAGGAGGAGGGAGAGCAGGGGGTGTAATAATTTAATAAATAATTGATTGAGATATTTTTGAATTTTCTCTCCATTTTTATATCTGGTTTTGGCTTCCCCTGTGCAATATCTCTCCATGGCTATGGTGTGAATCTGCTCTCTCCAGTCTGCCTGCCATTGCAGATGTGTACGAGAACATTTGAACGCGGTTTAGAGATGTGAATCAATCGAACACATAACACAAGGAACCCATCATGCAAGATACTCCTCGAACAGACACGGATATAATTAGAACAGGACACATTTCATAAGTTACTATGCTTCACAAATTTCATTCACTTCCAATCATCACCGCACTTTGACACTCGGATGAAATAGAACCACACTTGATCAGAGCTTAACACAAAACTAGAGCTAAACATTTGCACCAAAACAGTTGATGAAACCCACATGCTAAACATCGATCGTAAAAGTGTGGTGATGAAACCAGGCAAAAAAACGAATACACAAAAGATTAGCATGGCCTCTTCGCAAGGATGACCCAAAACAACAACAAAAAAAAATAAAAAAATAAAAAAATCATATGGAACTGCGAGCCTTGCTGCGCTAAGCAGCACGCAACAAACGGCTCCAAGAACCAACAAGCATACAGCAAGATTTCACTGGCTATGGCTTTCTCCCAAACACCCCCCTTCTCCAATGCTAAATATACTGCACGTCCGGTTCCACCAACCAGCAAAACTTGAGAAATAAAATTTAATAAATCACATTTTAAATCACAAAAAAAAGGTGAGAGTAGTTTTGATGAGCTGCTGCACCCTAACCTACGCCTCCTGCGTCTGGTCGAGCGAAAATCTTGATCCTCTTTTCCTTTTTTTAGTCGCTTGAGATGGACCACGGATCAGGTATTAAATAATTGAACTGATCAGAAGTTCCGAACAGATACTACACTTGATCTTAGCCAAAAGGCCAAGCGGTTGGGACACGACCTTTTTTCTAACCTAAGCCTACAGACAGTCTGCAGTCAGGTTGCGGGTTCAGAACTACTCAAGAACAAAAAACAGCGAACAACTTGAAACATCGCAAACACTTCGAGCAGGTTTCGGGTTCAAATCCTGCTGACCCCGTAGTCCTTCCCACTCAGTTCGAAGGCCGCCGCTGAGAACACTATAAACTTCCACTGCAAAAGCGTTCCATGCGTAGAAAAAGCAATCAAAATTCTCAGAAATCACTTGCACTCTGAAACTGGTCTGCAAGTATAGTCGGCTCTGTGTAAGGCTTCAAAACTTCTACAGATGTTGTTCAGTGTTGTCTGGTCCCACCCCAAGGCACGGGGACAATTTTTTTTCCCGCCCGCCCGCGTGTCAACCCTGTCCCGAGCCTCTGAAATTTTAGGGCCATGCACTGGTGGTCTAACCACCTTTGAAAAAACTTGAAAACACAGTTTAACAGCCCTACACAGCCTCCCCGAGCATCACCACATCACCCAAGTCCTCCCCGACCTGTCAAGGTATGGCGCCCAGCCTCAGCCCCCTCCTCTCCACCCTACACGCCTGCAGACCACCAGTGCCACCTGGCGCCAGCCCCAAGATGACAAGGGGGAACCTCCGGCTTGAAGAAGAAGAAGAAGAAGAAGACAAGGGGGAACCTCCAACAGCACACATATGGATGTAACCTGGCCAGCAGGTGAAGCACCAGCTTCACTGATGCCTCCAGTACTCAGCAGCGGCCCTACAGGCCTGCAGGCCACCAGCGCGACATCAGAACACACTCGGAATGCAAGCACTGGGATGAAAAGAGGGAACCTCTGGCAAGAAGAAGAAGAAGAAGAAGAAGAAGAAGAAGAAGAAGAAGAAGAAGAAGAAGAAGAAGAAAAAGAAGAAAGAACAAGAAAGACGAACACGACGATGACGAAGATGAGGACGACGAAGAAGAAGAAGAAGGAAAGAAGAAGAAGAAGAAGAAGAAGAAGAAGAAGAAGAAGAAGAAGAAGAAGAAGAAGAATGCCCAAGAAGTAGTAGCACGTGAAGCACCAGCTTCACTGATGCCTCCAATACTCAGCAGCGGCTCCCAGCTATAGCGCTACTCGAGCAGCTTGGCGGCGTCCACATAAAACAAACCAAAAGACCTCTAACACTTCAGTTGTACTCCATATATACTTATACACTAACCTACTGGACTGCTCCATATATACTTCTACACTAACCTAATGGACTGGACTTACCTTGAACCTAGCAGTCTACATGTTATCGGTCTCTATTTCACCAGTAACAGCAGTACCAGTCTGACGCAAAATCCATACAGCAGTCAGTTTATGCCGAAAAGACAAGTTTTAGGGGCTGAGTGATACCTGATTTTCGGTAGTTCAGGGAATTTGCGGAAAAGTCCCTCTCGGCTCAGTCTTAACTTTATTTTTCGGTTAGGACCTACCCGTAGTTGGTGTCAACGCCCCCCCCGTGGAGGCATGACTGCAAAATCAGTTATCGGTTAGGACCTACCGTCTTCACCCGAATAGAAAGCCCGATAATTATCGCCGTATCTGGGCTGAAAGTTGGGCCAAATACAGCTATAATGACCAGGCATTTTATTCGGGTGAAGACGGTAGTTCGTTATCGGTTAGGACTTAGAAAAATTGCAGAAAGGTCCTACCTAGTTGATGTCACCGCCCCCATCGGAGCCGTGAAGGCATGACTGCACAATCAGTTCAGCAGCTAAATGGATCTGCACATCAAGCTCCCCAATGCTGAGGTTACAGGACGGCGCTACCCATCCCAGCATGAGCCCGACTTCCTCCACCGTGCAAGCACGGATTCGGCCATCGCGACAAACTAAGCCCACAGAAAGTCACACAACGACTTTATTCTGCATGCATCAGATTGCAACTCCACCCTGGTTCATGCAAAGCCGTCATGAATCTGGGCGGAGTTGCAGTCTGATGCATGCAGAACACAGTACAAACACAACGCTACTCCTGTGAGGATGGCCTGGATTGATGCAAAGCAAAGCCAGCACCAAAACCATTTTCCCAGCAAAAGATATACCAAGCAAGACAAAGTAAGGAAGACAGTACAAACAACACCCTGAGAAGGACAGCGTGCTACGCAGGCCGGCCAGAGCTCATGGGCTCCGAACACAACACACCACAATTCCGCGAAGAGATAGGCTCGCAAGAGCTGATGGGCACTAAAACAACACACACCGGAAACTCCGCAAAGACAGAGGCCGGCGACAGCTGATGGGCACTGAAACAACACACCCAGTTCCAGCAGGTTATGGGTTCAAAATTCAAATCCCGGCAAGAGCTGATGTTCACTGAAACAGCACACCACCATTCAACAAAGAGATAGGCCGAATAGTGACCAACTATTTGGCACTACTTAAAGGCGCTCAGCCACCATTCAACAAAGAGATAGGCCGACAAGTGCTGACGGACACCGAAAACAACACACCACGATTCAGCAGTTGAATTGGGCTGCTGGACCCACTTTCAGCGCAAGCCGAAGCTGGGTAATGGCCCCATCCCCCGGGTTGTTTGTGGAGGGATTCCCGGCCTCCTTTCTGTTGTGATAATGAAATGTTTTTCTTTAAAAAGAAACAAAATATTAATAAACAAAAGGGAAAAACAAAGAGATACCTGACGCACTCATTCAAGCCCACAATGCTGTATAAGCTCAAGAGTACAATGGCACTGTCTGACTCCGACCGCTACAACAACCTGGGCGTTTCGAAAAGAAAGGAAAAAAAAAGAAAAAAGAAAAAAAAAAAGAGCACAGTAACCCTTGTAAACACGCTTAGCTTTGTCGAGTCAGCGAATTCATGAAATGCGATTTCATATCTTCCCCCTCAAAATTCACCACAATGAGAGGTAACAAACAATTATTACCCCCCCCCCCTTTCCCCTCCCCCCCTCACACACACAAAAAAAAAAAAAAGTATTGACAAAAGCAGGGCAGGACTGCACAAGCAATCGAAGCGAGGGGGGGAAGGGATTTATATGCATGGACGACCATTTGCACACACGAAATTTCGTTCGTCGATTTGATGCAGGGGTGGGGGAGGGTGGGAAGGGACGAGGTGGAGAGGTGAACGAACCTTCTTGCGGCGGCAGTACTCGCACTGTTGCTACGACCTCGGCTACGAAGGGAGGAAGGGGTGTGGATGTCGGAGCGTAGTACCCTGAATGCATGATGGCTGTTGCAAAACGGAGAGACAAAACAAAACAAAAAAAAGAACGAAAGGGACAATTTTCGAAATCAGCAAGGGTCAGAAAAACCAGAACTGTCGGCCCCCAGAATAGAAGGGGCCTTTGTTTTTTCTGTTAAAAAAAAAAAAAAAACAAGAAACATGCACGCGTATAACAGTGTGAAAACATCACTCAAGACATCATACAGACAAAAAACAAAGGGACAGAACGGATATGGAGCTAGGACAATAAGAACCTGTTTTACTTTTACAAACAAAGCTAGAGAGAGAGAGAGAGAGAGAGAGAGAGAGAGAGAGAGAGAGAGAGAGAGAGAGAGAGAGAGAGAGAGAGAGAGAGNGAGAGAGAGAGAGAGAGAGAGAGAGAGAGAGAGAGAGAGAGAGAGAGAGAGAGATGGTTCGATGTACATATACCGCGGTTACAACCCTAACCCGGACTTCAGAACTGTGGCTGGACGTATGGTGGGTTCAGATACGTGGATCTGGACGTATAGTGGGTCCAGATACATGGCTAGATGGTCCGGAGTACATACCGTGGTTACAATCCTAACCCGTACTTCAGAACTTTGGCTGGACGTATGGGGGATAAGCGATTGAATATGCCAAACCTGTTTTTTTTAGTGTCCAGATACAGGGATCTGGATGTATTCTGGGTCCACATCCCTGGACCTGGACGTCTGGTGCGTCCAGATACCAGCATCTAGATGTACTTGTCAAGATGCCCGGTATCTGGACGTATGGGTCCAGATACCGGGATCTGGACGTTTTGGCCACATACGAAGATCTGGACGTATGGGTCTGGATGTATGGGTCTAGATACCGGGATCTCGATGTATGGTTCCAGATTCCAGGGATGTGGGGATAAAGGGGTTCAGATACCAGAAGGTCTGGACAGCCTGTACAGATAAAGCAAGACCATAAACTGTTGGGCAGACTCATCGTAACTTTTCCCTTACCATCTTAACTGTTGGTTTACCATAGCAAACCCAACAGTTACTATGGTAACTTCGTCCCTTTACCATGGTGACTGTGGGCAGACCATAGCTATCACCTTCCTTCACCATCGTAACTGCTGCAGTTGCTATGGTAAAGGAACACAGCTACTGTGGTAAACCAACAGTTACTATAGTAACCCAACAGTTACTACGGTAAGACAGTAGTCACCGTAGTAGCTTTGTCCTTTTACCATCGTAACTACAGGCAGACGATAGCCACTACCTTCCTTTACCATCGTAACTTCTGCAGTTACGATGGGTAAAGGAACACAGTTACTATGGTAAACCAACAGTTACTATAGTGGCTTCGTCCCATTTTGGCCTTTACCATCTTCCTTTACCATCGTAAGTGCTGCAGTTACGATGGTAAAGGAGCGTAGGTACTATGGTAAGCCAACAGTTACTATAGTAGCTTTGCCACTTTACCATCGTAACTGCAGGCGTACCATAGCTACCACCTTCCTTTACCATTTTAACTGCTGCAGTTGCAATGGTAAAGAAACACAGTTACTATGGTAAACCAACAGTTACTATAGTAACTTTGTCCATAGTCGCCACCAAACAGTTACTATGGCGAACCAACAGTTACTATAGTAGCTCCGTCTCTTTACCCATGGTACCTGCAGGCACACCATAGCTACCACCATGGTCTGCCTGCAGATGCGATGGTGAAGGGATGAATTTACTTTAGTAATTGTTTTCTTACCACAGTAACTGTGTTCCTTTACCATCGTAACTGCTGCAGTTGCGATGGTAAGGGAACACAGTTAATATGGTAAGCCAACAGTTACTATAGAAACTTTGTCCCTTTACCATCGTGACTGTGGGCCGACCATAGCTACCACCTTCCCTTACCATCGTAACTGCTGCAGTTACGATGGTAAAGGAACACAGTTACCGTGGTAAGAAAACAATTACTGAAGTAAATTCATCCCTTCGCCCTCGCATCTGCAGGCAGACCATAGCTACCACCTTCCACGAAGACAGTTAGAGAAACAAAACACAGTTTCATTACCATAGCAACCGTGTGTGGGCAGCCCATCACTAGACATCTTCCCTGGAACAGATTGCACAATGATTATCGATGTATCTAGACTAAAGGGTGGACCAAATACAGCTATAATGACCGTGCATTCTATTCCGGGGGAGGAAGACGATGGGGTAACCCCAGAGAACAACAGCAGCATATAAAAGGCTTTAGCACTCGTTGCAACGCAGCTTCGACCCAGGCAAACAAACGAGAGGACAGTGTGCAAATGGGTGGGGTGCAGCTGGCACCTCAAGTTCATGCATGTATGCCCAACACCCCTCTCGCACAAAGGCTGCTCCCCTTTTTTTTCCCCTTTTTTCCTTTTCATTCCACCCTTATCCCCCATCCTTGCACGGTATGCACTGTGCATACCACCCGCATTTTCTTTTTTCTTTTTTCTTTTTTCTTTTTTCTTTTTTTCTTTTTTTTTTTTAATTTGGACCATTTCTCGATTTATGCGTGTCATCCTTGCGCAGGGGCCATGCTAATCTTCTCTGTATCGTTCCAATTTTAACGGATGTCCTGAAGGACACAACCCGCATTTTCTGCACATCATCAAGCTTGGTAATACCACTCTTGGGGCGTACTCGCACTAGCACGTTCCAAGGAACAGGTCGAAATGGCAAAAAAAAAAAAAAAAAAAAAAAAGATTTCCAAAATGTGGGGTAGAAAAGCAGAAAGCTTAGAAAAGACTTTTGAGCTTTTGAAAGTTGGAAAAATGTAAACGATGGTCAATAGGAACAGAACAAGCCGAAATTTTATTTTTTTTAAATAATAATCGTAAATCAAAATTTAAAAATCATGACCAAATTACTAAGGGCATAGCTCGCACTGGGACTTTTTTCAACTGATCTCGGGACGTAATTCCGGTCAGATACATCCAGGACTGGCCGAAATTGGAGTCAAATACATCCAGGAAAGTCTTCTCGTGTGCGAATGGCCCCTAAGTGTTGTCCGAAATTGGAGTCAAATACATCCAGGAAAGTCTTTCCGGGTCAGGTGCATCCACGACTGACCGTAGTTGCAGTTTAAACAAATCCAGAAATTTCCTCAATTCCTGACAAACAACAACAGGGACAAGGCCATCCATTGCCGCACTCCACCTACAGAAGGGATGGGAAAGCTGCTCCGACGAAACAGTTTGTCACAGCCCCTCGTTTGTTGTCTTCTTCTCCCTCCCTCTCTGCCTACGGTTTACCGGGCAGCTCTGTTTGACGATTTATACATACATATAGTCAAACAGAGTACAATATATAAATGCGCAGGCCAGACAGTCTCCAGGTCACTTCAGGCCTGTTGTTCAGGCCTGAAGTTTGCCCCCTTTCCTTCTTTTTTTCCTTTTCCTTCTTTTTTTCCTTTTTCTTCCTTTTTCTTTTCACAACAAGGGAGTCATGTCTCCCTCTTCAAACATCTCTGCATCCAATGGCCTCCGGCATCTTTTTTTTCTTTTTTTTCTTTTTTTCTTTTTTTCTTTTCCCTCCACTACCACAACAAGGCTGGGATAGAGAGCCAGAGTAGAGGAGAGCGAAAGAGTGGTTGGCTTGTCGAAGGGAAGAGAATGTCAGAATTACCAAAGGAATTTATGGAAAAAAAAAAGGGGGAAAGAAGTGGTTGGCTGGATATCTAGGTGGTATGGGGAGGTGGTGGAGGTGGCATATAAAAAAAAATCAGGAAAAAATCAGGAAAAAATCAGGAAATTTTCAGGGGGAAATCAGGGAAAACAGGGAAAATAAGGGGAAATAAGGGGAAATAAGGGGGGGAAATAAGGGAAAAATTAAATGAAAAGTAAGTGAAAAAACGGGGGGAGGAAGGGAGAGAGTACAAGGATTTAACAACCACCTTTACCTGCCACAATGTCCGAGTCCCCTGTGTAAATGTCTGTCCCCCAAAGTTGGTTTGCTCTTACCTGGAAAAAAGGGGAAGAAAAAGAGAGAAAGAGAAGAGAGAGGGAGAGAGAGAGAGAGAGAGAGAGAAAGAGAGTTGCAACGAAGCCAGGACCAGTCACATGTATGTACGGCATTTTCTTATGGCTTTATTTTTATGCCATTTTCGGTCCTTTTCAATGATTTTTTGAATTTCCTTATGGTATTTTTGGCATTTTTGTACTAAACTTTTGTGACAATTTTTGTTCAATGATTTTTGGAATTTTCCTTTTCTTTTCTTTTCTTTTTCCATTTTTTAAAATTGTTTTTGGCATTTCTGTATGGAATTTACGGCATTTATGGAATTTATGGAACTTTTGGCATTGCTTTTTTTCTTTTTTTTAATTGTTTTTTTAGCTAGGCTACCAGCCGGGCCGCCCGGGTCACCCTGTTTTCCCAGGCGGGCCGGCCGTGCAAGGACCAGGGAAGGTCCCACCAAAMAAAAAMAAAAAAAAAAAAAACAAAAAAAAAAAACTATGTTCTACAGAAAATAAACTGAACAACTTTCGCCTCAGGGTCACATCAAAATCCTTTACCAAATTTTAAATAAAAATAAATTGAAAAATCATATTAAAAAAAAAAAAAAAGCTTTTGGCCCGGCCTGCCAAGTGGTCCCGGGCCAAGTGGCCCAGCCGGCCAAGTAGCCTAGTGTTTTAGGCATTGCTGTACGGAATATTTTGCATTTTTGTACGGCATTTATGGCATAGATGGGTAAACGTCACAGAAGGAGAGCAGCTGTGTCCCTTCGAATCACAAAAAGACGTGTCTTTTTTTCATGCAAAACAACGAAAATTTCATGCAACCACACTCGATGGCAGAAATCAGAAGAAAATAGAAAAAAAGCAGGGAAGCGGACGAGCAAGGACATGTCTTTTCTTTTTTCTTTTCTTTTCTTTTTTTCTTTTTTTCCCCTTTTTCCCCTTAATTTGGCCCATTTCTCGAGTAATGCGTGTCATCCTTGCGCAGGGCCCATGCTAATCTTCTCTTTCTCTGTATCGTTCCAATTTTAACTCTTTACATTTCTCCCTTTTCTCTTTTTTCTATCTTTTTTTTTTGAAATTTCTCCCTTTTTTACCCCCTTTGACGAGATCGTTAATCTATGGCTTTCCAATAGGCAGCAGAGTCAATCGGCGGTTGGACAACCGGCATATTCTCTCTCTCTCTCTCTCTCTCTCTCTCTCTCTCTCTCTCTCTCTCTCTCTCTCTCTCTCTCTCTCTCTCTCTCTCTCTCAGCGTCGGTATAACAACAACGCCTAAGAGAATATACCATTGCTATATACCATATTCAGAAGCTATCACCGCTCACACTCAGAACACGTAACTCCTCTTCTTTTTTTTTTCTTTTTTTTTTTTTATGCAGAGTAGAACTGGTACCTCGTAAGATATATGTCTGAAGGAGGATGCGTTAGTTTTTTTTTGGGGGGGGGGGGGGGGGGGGGGGGAAGGGGGGCGGCGAGCACAATTTCGGGAATGGTTGCTGAGTGGTTCGAGGGCGAGCATCAACAACGTTTGTGCAGCAGAGTCCATGTTCATATTCTGATTCTCTTCGACACAGATCAATCAATTCGATCCACCAATCAATCAATCAATCAATCAATCCGTCAATCACTCGCTCACGCGCTCGGTCGCTCCATCACGTCACTCCCCAAATCAATCAATCTATGCAGATCAATCAATCAATCAATCCCCAAACCAATCAATCTATGCAGATCAATCAATCAATCCCCAAATCAACCAATCTATGCAGATCAATCAATCAATCAATCAATCAATCAATCAATCGAGCAATGAATCACGCCTCACCCGCTCCATCACATCACTCACTCACTCAATCAACCAAACAAGCAATCTACGGCTTCCGAAATCAATCAATCTGATACAATCTAATTCAGTCCATCAATCGATCAATCAACCCTCCATTTCATCAATCGATCAATCATGTCCATCCAATCGCATCCCATCAGCCATCCAATCTCATCCAATCAGCCAACCAATCAATCAATCAGTCAATCAATCAAGCAAGCAAGCAAGCAACAAATCAATCAATCAATCAATCAACCAATCATTTGTAAGCAATAAATCAATAAAGCAATGAATCACACGGAGGGAGGGGAGAATGCTGGAGACAACGGGGAGAAAAAAAGAGGGAGAGCGGGGACAAAACAGAGGGCGACTGAAAAGGGGGGAGGGGGGGGGGGGGGGGGGGGGGGGGGCGAAGGAGAGGAAGACGGAAGGGGCAGAAAAAGGAGAGGGGCAAAAAAAGGAGGACGGGGGCTGACATGCATTCATAGGCCATCGACAAGATTCAGGGAGATGGTGCCGAAAATACAAAAAAAAAAAAAAAAAATCCAAGATGGAAAAGAACTAACCTTGTGATTGGTATTTGTCATAGCCTCCGGCGGTATGTGAATTTCAACAACGCGTGAAAGAGTAGCAGATTCATGTCCTCCTCCTCCTCCTCCTCCTCCCCCCCCTCCCCCCTGAAATTTACAAAGATCAGGCATCCCGTCCCCTAGCCGATACTGCAGGTGTACCACTTCCATCCCGATCCCGATTCACTGAAACACAAAAAACAAATCAACGGTTATAATCAAGTATATGATAAGTTCGCCGCAGTATTCAAAATCAAATCAACGGTCATATCTTTATTATATATTAATAATAATAAAGTCACTGCAACCCACCAAAAGTCATATCTCCCTTCTTAACCAGAAAGGAAAAAAAAAAAAAAACAGAAAAAAAAAAAAACAGAAAAAAAAAAAAAAAAAAAAAAAAAAAAAAAAAAATCAACGATTATAATCGATGTTAAATAAATTCACTTGAATATTAAAAAAACAAATCAACAACGGTTATAAATTATAATAATTAAAAGACGTTAAANGGGGGGGGGGGGGGGGGGGGGGGGGGCGAAGGAGAGGAAGACGGAAGGGGCAGAAAAAGGAGAGGGGCAAAAAAAGGAGGACGGGGGCTGACATGCATTCATAGGCCATCGACAAGATTCAGGGAGATGGTGCCGAAAATACAAAAAAAAAAAAAAAAAATCCAAGATGGAAAAGAACTAACCTTGTGATTGGTATTTGTCATAGCCTCCGGCGGTATGTGAATTTCAACAACGCGTGAAAGAGTAGCAGATTCATGTCCTCCTCCTCCTCCTCCTCCTCCCCCCCCTCCCCCCTGAAATTTACAAAGATCAGGCATCCCGTCCCCTAGCCGATACTGCAGGTGTACCACTTCCATCCCGATCCCGATTCACTGAAACACAAAAAACAAATCAACGGTTATAATCAAGTATATGATAAGTTCGCCGCAGTATTCAAAATCAAATCAACGGTCATATCTTTATTATATATTAATAATAATAAAGTCACTGCAACCCACCAAAAGTCATATCTCCCTTCTTAACCAGAAAGGAAAAAAAAAAAAAAACARAAAAAAAAAAAAACAGAAAAAAAAAAMARAAAAAAAAAAAMAMAAAWMAMATCAACGATTATAATCGATGTTAAATAAATTCACTTGAATATTAAAAAAACAAATCAACAACGGTTATAAATTATAATAATTAAAAGACGTTAAATTCACTTAAATGAATATACAAAATCAAACCAACGGTTATATACTCAAGAAGTTGTGACCTTGTTCGTTTCTTTTTTTCCCACGGTTGTTGAATGTCAGGGCGAAAAATAAAAAGGAAAAATAAAAAGGAAAAAAAAAAGGGAAAAAAAAAGGAAAAAAAAAGGACGTCAGGGCAGCGGTCCTGTTTTGCCTTCTTTTTTTTTTTTTTTTTTTTTTGACGATTTCTGGTCCTAGACCTTATTCCCCACGCCTGCACCGAGTCTGGGCAATGGTCCCAGCCTTAATTTCTCCGGGTTGATTGTGGGGGGATTCCCAAGGGGCCCCTTTTTATTTAAAAAAAATTAAAAAAACGCAGATACTCATACTAAAATAGTAAATGTCAATAAGACCCAAAAAACAAAAAAAACAATTAAAAAGCCAATCAAGTTTGACTTTGACCAACCTGCAGTCAACGCTCGGTATTTATCTTCCCCGGCCTCACCCACACCCAAAAAAAAATAAAAAAAAAGCTTCGTCGGATGAATGTAGAGCAATGATGATTTCCGATGAAAGGTCACACGCAACATATAATGTCATATAATTCTATATTATAATTCATATACATATTTCTTTATGCAGACATATACATATATATATTGTCACAATGTGAATCGGAGCGCGAAGGAAAAAAAAAAAAAAAAAAAAAAAGACAAGGAAAGGAAAAGAAGTAAGGAAGGAAAGCCCCACCTGTTCATCACCTCTTACGTACAAGGCCAGCCACGTGGAGGATGACATGTTGAGCCCTGGCTGCCCCCATCCCCGTGTGTCACAAGGACCCACTTGCAGACATATAATACCCACGTCTTGATGACGAATAAGGCCATTTGCTATATATATATCGTCACAAACAGAACTGCCCGGTAAACCGTAGGCAGAGAGAGAGAAGAGGACAACAAACGAGGGGCTGTGACAAACTGTTTCGTCGGAGTTTCACCGACTCATCAGGAGGCTGAACCCTCAACNCAAACTGTTTCGTCGGAGTTTCACCGACTCATCAGGAGGCTGAACCCTCAACAGTCTGCAGAATCCCCTCACTGATTACACTGTAAATGATAATCTACCTTAACCAATGTAATCTGGGATTTATTTTTATTTTTTTGCAGACAAGAGTTTTGTCCTGGGTGGTCTTGTCCTGTCGTTTGGCCTGTGAAGGAGGGGCGGTGCTTGCACGTGGGACTTGTCATCTAGAATCCGTTTTTGGTGCTATTGCTTGTTGCCCCCTGTTCTGTTGTATTTGGCTGTTCCCTTCCTCTTTTCTTTGCCTCTTTGCCCTTTGGCTGTGTGCAAGTGGGGGGTCGATATGACACACGGGGGTCGGGGCGGCCGCCGCTCAACCTACATCCACGTGGGCGGCCTTGTACACAAGAGGATCTGAACAGGGGAGTTGTAAGAGAGAAGATAAAAAAAAACGAATTATTTTTTATTTTTCTTGTTTTCTTCTGTTTTTTTCCGCCTTTGCGCTCTGATATTCATGTGACAATATATATATATATATCGTCACAAACAGAACTGCCCGGTAAACCGTAGGCAGAGAGAGAGAAGAGGACAACAAACGAGGGGCTGTGACAAACTATATATATATATTCAATATCGTCAAGCAGAGCCTGTGAACAGGTAAACTCCCGGCAGAGAGGGAGGGAGAAGGAGACGAGAGGACAACAAACGCGGGAGGGCCTGTGACAAACTGTTTCGTCGGAGTTTCACCTACCGACTCATCAATCAGTAGAGGCTGAACCCTCAAAACAGTCTGCAGCAGAATCCCCTAACTGATTACACTGTAAGGGATAATATATAATAAAATAAAATATAAAATAGAACTCCGACGAAACAGTTTGTCACAGCCCCTTTTTTGTTGTCCTCTTCTCCCTCTCTACCTACGGTTTACTGGGCAGCTCTGTTTGACGATATATATGTGTCTGTATACATACATATTATTTTCAAACATATAAATCCGAATAATGACATAACGATTCTTTATTCCACAATCCACATAATGATAGCCGAGCTCAACCATTTCCTTATGGAAGGCTAGAGAACTGCAAAAATGATCACCTCCGTTCTTCTTCCTTCAGTTGCTCACCATTCAATCGATAAGAGCGATGGGCGGTTAGAAAGCGCGCAGGGGAGAAGAGGCGAAAAAGTTTTCAACCACCAATCACACTTGCTCTCTCTCTCTCTCTCTCTCTCTCTCTCTCTCTCTCTCTCTCTCTCTCTCTCTCTC